ACATACATTATATGGTGTGTCGCATACCCGATTTTGGTGTTGAAAAGTAGTGGTTTTTTGCCACTAGAGATCTTGGCATGGAAAAGAAATATTGCTCTTATGAAAACATTATGATGAGACATCAAGACAAACTAGCCACCTGGACAATAGAAGACTAAAAACCTCATGTATGAGTGGAATAAAGAATGGTGGCATGAGCTTAAAATTTAGGATTGAACCTAGAATTGGTAAGATCCATTTGATGATTAACCAATATAGATGAATTAAGTATTAGAATAATGTTAGCTACTAGGACTCTAGGTGTGACATTACTATGCAATAATCAACCCTATAGTTATTTGGATTTTCTGGGATATCATCATACCACTCATAGGTATGTAAGACTTTTGTTACTTACCTCTGCACTGGTTGCAAGTAGAGCATGAAAGGCACACTAAATGACACATCCCCACAAGTAACAACTTTGTTAGCAATTTGATTTTCACTAAATGGAGGATGTTTATCATACTCTACCAAAATAGCATTTACAGGACCGAACCACCCTCCCATTATAAGCATGTATGCTAACCAAGGCTAGAGGGAGACTGACAGGGAACAAATGCATTCATTTATAGAATTTTAGGTTTCTAGACATATAATATATGTATATATATATAATCCCTACATCCAATGCTAGGTAGTTAGCAAAACCCTCTCTAACTTGTTAACAAACTAATCTATGATTTCATAATACAACTCAATTGCATCTCACAATCATCACTACTATATTTTGTTGATCCCTAGTTGCCTAAAGTAAAACAACATAGATTTTAGATAATCAAAATTCCTCAATGCAAAACACACAAAAGCACTTCACTCTAAGTTCTAACTTTTCTAATAGAGGCTACTTCTAAGTTACAGCTTGAGAACACCTTTTGTGTGGAGGTGTAAATCTTAATTTTATGTAAGGAAAGAAGAAATAACTTCTTAAGCTAGCTCTTAAATGTATGTTCAAAGACAACCTTTATATGCATGAAGAGTTGAACGTATGTTCAAAGGCAACCTCTTGTGCATGAATGAAACAAGGAAAAAATACAACTTTTTGATTGTCAAACTTAAGAGAGCTAAGAGTTGAAAGCTTTTCCTATTTCTCCTTATTAGTATAAAATATTTAAAGTGCTAATAAAGTATAGCATTGTCAACAACCAAAAAGAACAACTTAAGAAATGCTTTATTAAAGTGTAAATAATAAAGGGAAAGTGTATATGAACAAGAATTTTGGGCTATTAAAGTGAAAATTATTCAACTTAGTAGTGACCTACATTAGTTTTTGAGTTTACAAATACACTTATTGCAAAATAAAATTAAATAGTACAATTATACAGTTCAGTAATACACTTTAAAGTGATCATTATTTATAAATTTAGACTTGTATAAATTAAGTTTTAAGTCATGTATAAATTAAGTTTTCATATAAATAAGCTTAAATCACATGTCCTCCAAGGATTACATTTCTAGGTATTTTTAAAGTTCAATAACAAGTTGGATAACAGTGTTTTACAGTTACTGTTATCGGAACAGTTTTTTATTTAACATTTATTAACTTGTGATTGTGTATTTATAATTTTGAAAAATAAAAATATGTAAATATTAACCCTTAAAAAATTTAACCTTTAAACTATAAATTTATAAATATATCACTAGAATAAAAAAAAAAATTTAAGCTTACTACATCTGCCTCACATTTCCTATAAGCTATTTCTAAACCCTAAATCCCTAACTTTTATTTTATTGAGGAAATTTCTAAGTAATTATTTCATAGCTTTCCCCAATATATAGTAGTACATTTGTAGAAGATAATTTATATGTATGATTAAAATTAATGGTATATACTTATTATAAAATGGAAGATTTCGGTCAATAAAAGGTAGAAAGTAACACTGGCACATCATTTATAGCTTGTTGCTAAATTTCACACATTCAATGTATTTGACAAGATCATATAATTTGCTGCATTATCCTCAAAGTTGAGCAACTCTATAAATGCTCTTTGTGCTATATCCACATTCTTCCACTTCTTACAAGCATCCATCACTAAGATCCAAGTCACAGCGTCGGCCTTACATGGCATTGCTTGTAGCATCTCCACAGCCTGGCCAACTTTGTTGGCTCTACAAAGCATGTCCGCCATGCAGTGATAGTGCTCGACGCTGGGAACTATTCCAAACTTCGAGGAGCTCATCCAGCTAAAAATCTCCCGTCCCTTATCCACGAGACCGGCATGACTACAAGCAGTAAGAATCGACAGGAATGTTATGGAATCCGGCTTAAACCCCTCGTTCAGCATCTTGTCAAAGAGATCAAACACCGTTTTGGAGGTCCCTTGGAGGCTGTAGCCTGCTATCAGCGCGGTCCAAGTTGAAACTTTGATTTCCTTGATGGAGCAAAAGATCTGCTCGGCTTCTACCATGGTTCCACACTTGACGTAAAAATCCACGAGCTGAGTCGCGATGGCTGGATCGTCCTCGAGGCCACACTGGCAAACTTCCGCGTGGAGTGCTTTCCCTGTCCTTAGCTCTCCAGTGTTCTTGGAAGCCTTTAGACCCGTGAGAAACGTCCACGAGCTCCGTGCCAAGCAACCCCCGGATCTCATTTGAGCAATCAGCTCCAAGGCTTTGCCTCCCTGCTCATTTTCGCAGTAGCCGGAGATTAATCCCATCCAGAGCACTGGACTGCGAACTCCGCATCGATCAAAAGCTCGTTGTGAGTCGGCCATGCTTCCACATCTTGCGTAAATCTCCACCAGGCTGCTCGCAAAGTAGGCATTCTCGCAGTCATGACGCTTCTCAGCAGCTCGAGAGTGAAGAGCCATCGCCATTTCCAGTGACTTCATCCTTACTTTGATCTCTGGACCATCACCACCTTTTAAGACCTTTGCGTCTTCGTCCATTGCGAGAGCCGCGCACGCCTTGACTGCTGCAGAGAACGTCCACGAATCCGGGATGCAAGACGCTTCGGACTGGACCATCAGGAGCTCAAACAGTTGGAGCGCCAGTCTACCGCCGCCAGGAGTTTCTGCATAGCCACTGATCAACGAATTCCACTGGAAAATGCTATGGAGCTTTGTGCTGTCGAAGATCCATCGAGCCATCTCAATACAGCCACACTTTGTATACGCATCGATCAAGCTGCTCGCCAAGTAAACACCCCATGAAGAACCAGAGCACTTTGCGTGAGAGTGAATGACCATCGTCTTCTCCAGAGAGCCAAGCTTCACGAGTCGAGCATCGTCCTCAGTTTTGGTTGCTTCTTCTCTCGCCGCAAGACCGCTGCAAGCCTTCAGTGCCGCGACGTAAGTGTAAGAGTTCGCTCGAAAGCCTTCCAAGAGCATGGAGGAGAAAAACTCCAAGGCTAAGTCACACTGCCCGTTCTCGGCATAGCCATTCACCAAAGCCGTCCAAGAAACCAAGCTGTGCTGCGATACCCCATCGAAGCATCGCCGAGCATCAGTCACGAGTCCACAGCTCGCGTACATGTCGATCAAACAGGCCTGGAGGAAAGGATCCAAGTTGAGATTCGCTTGTAGAGCCTGCGAATGGATAGCCATGCCATTCTCGAGCGACACGACTTTGAGTGAGAATCCATCCAGCTTGAGAAACTCCTCCTCTGCAGCGCGTCTACTACAGGCCTTGAGTGCCGAGACAAAGGATCGAGCGTCTGGCGAGCAGCATTCCCTGTTCATGGAGCCGATTTTCATGGCTTCAAACAGCTCCAGAGCTCGATTATACTGTCCATTCTCCACATATCCCTGTATCATGGAGTTCCACGCCACCACATTAAGCTTGGAGCAAATCTGGTCGCTTGCAAAGATGTTATCGGCACCTCTCATGTCGCCACACTTCGCGTACATGTCGATCAAGCTGCTCACAACATAGTTCTCACATAAAAACCGGCTCTTGAGTGCGTGAGAATGGACAGCCATACCTTTCTCCAGAGACACCACTTTGATATTCGCGGAAAACCTGGATGATTCATCGTGAATTTCCTCCTCCAGCGCAAGACTGGCACAAGCTTTCAGTGCTGCGACGTAAGTTCGAGCATCTGGAACAAACCCTTCAGAGATCATCGCCACAAACATCTCCAAGGAGGAATTGCCCTCTCCGTTTCGAGCATACGCAAGCATTACAATGTTCCAAGACACGAGGTCTCGTGTTCTTGCCATGGAAAACACCCGGTTGGCATCAAACAGGGATCCACACTTCACGTACATATCAAGGAGGGCATTCTGCACGAAAATGGACTGGAAATGGTCGTTGTTGAGCTGCGAGTGTATTGCCATACCTCTTTCCAGCATCCGGGCTTTTGCTCCATCTCGAGCTGCGAGGCTGCTACAGGATTTAAGAGCAGCGACCAGACTCCATGAATTACTAACTAGAACTTTCTCGCTCTCTCCGTTCTTGAATTCCATGCCCTATTCCATTTCTCACTATCTTGTTAATGTTTGAAAAAAATGCTGATTCAGAATAATTATCTGCAATAATTTTTTAGCAAAAAAGATATGAAGGTGCCAGGCAGAGAAACAAGCGGCTAGTGGATTTATACAATCACTATTGTTTTTATTGAATATGACAAATGATATTATTGTTTTGTTATAAATGTTTGTGTGAGAATTGCTATAGTATATATCAATATGAGGTACATATACATTCTTACTTTGATCCTAGTTGTTACAAATATTGAGCTCTCTTCAGCACCGGACAGCTATTCTACTCATGTTTTAATTGACTGCTTTGATGAATTCCATGTTATAACACCTCAAGAGCATTATGCTAGATGTGGTGCTGAAGTCTGGACCCAATTTGCTAGAGGTGGGTATCACTCGGGCCGTTATATGGCTCAATTTGGTGTATTTACAGTAATTTTAGAGGTTGGATTTTTCCATGACGCAATTGCTACTGATTTTAGGCAAGCTTTATCTGATATCTGGAATGAATGTCTTGCTCACCATGAGGCCGGAGGTATGGTTAGTGTTGAGGACGGGTCTATGAGATTAATAATGACTTATAGAAGACGCCCAAACTATTAACCTTCTAAAAATTAAGTTAGCTTCTAATTATTTGCATGATAGCTTGACAATTTGATCATGCCCATTTGAAATGCTAATTGTTCAGAATTCTTGCAAAACTTTCACCAATGCTGTGCTTTGCACTACTTGAAACTGGTGGATCTCCAATGTAGAGATCAAAGAATGCTCCTGTCAAGAACGTGTATGGACAAGTTTAACAAAATGGAAAGGGTCTTACTGCATAAGTTCTCGCTGAAGATAGTTCCTACACGACGACCATCAACTACAGTTTGTAATCTTCCCCCTGGTTGCCAGTGAATATCAATCACAGTCCCCTATGAAACCCACAGAATGTAAGAAGAGCCATTCATCTCGAAACTGTATACCTTGTGGATTTTGAGATCCCCGGAGAGGTAAGAACAGAAGATCTGGAGCCCCTCGTCATCTTCAGCTCCTTTGATCTGATTCACGTATTATTGAGCTTTGTCATGAAACGGGAAAGCAAACATGAAATTACCTTTCTTAAGCGATTTCTCAAGGAGACTTGGAAAGCACTAGAAAAAAAATCGCGAGTTATGTGGAACCCGAAGAAAAACGACGCACCTTCTCACTAAATCCACAGTCAGGCCTTTGTAGAGAACCACCATTCGCACTGTTAAGCTCACTTCATGCCTAAAAACATCTGTCAATAAAAGCGGCTTCAAAAGATGAAGCGAATCCCTCACCTGAGAAGATCATCGTAGAACTCGGACCGAAACTTGAGATCACTAGGAGATACTCCAGCATACTTTTCTCCAAGCTGCGCACGCAGTGATTCAGGATGCACATCTGCTTACTCGAGAAAAACTTCAAAACGAGACCTTTAAAACAAAGCAGACAGCTTACACATGCCAAACGCGTAGAGATTTATCGACTTTATCTTCATCAGTTGTCTGCACCGCACTCCAACCCCGCCAAGCACCTGCATGATCAAACGTAAGATGCCGGGAATTCTCTCGAGACGACTGAAGTCACGGCAATCGACGTAAGAAATCACAGACTTACCTACAAAATGCTAACCTGAGAGAGTTGTAAGCCGTTTCCTTCGAGACCAAGTAGATGGAGCGGGAACTGAACACCGCTATGAGGTTCCACCACCGTCTTTGTAAGATCGCTCGTCCAATCCTGGGAGGCAGTATCACTCTCCATCGTTATCTCTGTCACTGGAGCCTTGAGAGTAAGCGCAGCTTCGCAAGGTGGCCTGTGAGAGAAAACCAGCAACGAAAGAATTAAAGAATAGAAGAGGTAAACTTACGGAACGATCAGAGGCGGCCAGATCGCTGCCGCAAGGATCAAAACAACCGGAGGAACACTGCTGCATTTCTTGTCCTCGGCACCCCACATTCTCGTCCACATCACTGAAGAAGCTCTGGAAAAGCTTTCCCCAACGCTGGGAATGCGAACTTGGCGGCATTTACCCCGCCTCTGCGTCCTATCACTCGAGGGCGTCGAGGAAGAGGCGCCATTGCTCTTGATCGACAGCAAAAGTCCTCCCAGGAGCGTCCCTACGATGGAATTGAGCGAGAATACCTGCGGCCGAGGAGGAATCGCTGCTCGCGCCGCCCAATCGCAGACCGCGGACCAGCCGGCATCCATGGCCAGGAAATCCCTAACCCTAGACCCTATTTTAGAGCGCTCATTTCCAAGAACGCTGGACGCTGGAAGAGAATACCGATGCATCGCTATTTCGAAGCATATTCGTTTCGAGGGAATATTCACGGCCGTACACACGTGTCTTACCGTACAAGAGGGTTCAGGGCTTAGGGTTCTAGCGGATAGATTTTAAGAGAGAAATGCGAGGCGTTCCAGACGGGCGCCTCATTATGGATAGCGGCATCGGGGCGCTCGTCCAGCGCCGAGCGATCACGGCGCGCAATCGCATCATCTCCTCACTAGCAATGCGATTCCCGGGAGGAAGGCTTGGGGCGCTCAATGGTCGCTTCTTTGGCCAATGCCCACTGCTTCGCCCTGGATTATCGCTTCGGATCGCCGGCGCCCGGGGCTTTCGAGCTGTGTCGGCACAGATGGAAAGAAAAGCAGCGGCTACCGGCGATGGTGGAGCTGCGGTGGCTGTGCACAACGATAGAACACTCTTGGTGGAGCTACACAAGGAGGCGTCCGAGTCATATCTCTCCTATGCGATGTCCGTTATCGTTGGAAGAGCTCTTCCGGATGTGCGCGATGGTCTCAAGCCCGTGCATCGCCGAATACTGTAAGTCCTTCGTGAGCTCTTCTTTCTTTTTTCTCTGATCGTGTACTTGTTATAGTTACGCTATGAACGAGCTGGGTTTAGCGTCCAAGAAACCTCATAGGAAGTGTGCTCGTGTTGTTGGCGAGGTAAGGCTCTCTTCGTTTCTTCTCTACGTTCTTAAAAAGCTGTTTGTTTGTTCCAACTAGGTGCTTGGAAAGTTTCATCCGCATGGGGACACAGCCGTGTATGATGCCTTAGTTCGCCTTGCCCAGGCAAGCTATACACTTTTCTTCTCTTCCTTTATAGTTTGACATGGAAAAACGTTTTTCCTGTCGCAGAGTTTTTCGCTGCGGTCACCACTTATCAGTGGTCACGGGAACTTCGGCTCGCTGGACGGTGACCCTGCGGCTGCAATGAGATACACCGAGTGTAGGCTTCATGTAAGTTTTGTTTTGCCAGTAGCCAGTACGATGTAAGTTTTCTTTTCTCTTTTCAGCCGCTTTCAGAAGCAATGCTTCTTGCCGACCTTGATCTGGATACCGTAAGTGCGAGTCATGTTGTGGCCTACCGTGACCTGACTTACTCCACACCAGGTCGATTTTATTCCAAACTTCGACGGATCACAAAAGGAGCCGGTAGTCATGCCTGCCAGACTTCCCAACGTTCTTATCAATGGTGCTTCCGGAATAGCCGTGAGTATGGTTCTTCCAAGGGTGACAAATAATTACCTTGACTTGCAGGTTGGCATGGCTACCAATATACCTCCGCACAACCTCTCCGAAGTTGTGGACGCACTTTGCGCTTTGATAAAGAATCCTAATGCAACTGTATGTAGATTTTCGATTCGGCTTGTGAGAACGGATTAACAACATCATGATTTTTACAGGTCGAAGAACTGATGGAACATCTGCCTGGCCCAGATTTCCCGACCGGAGGACAAATTTTGGGGATATCGGGGTAAAGCTGGCCTCTTTCCTTCGGCTTTACAAGCTATAGTAACTCGCAGGATAGCGGACGCTTTTAGAACCGGCCGCGGAACGATTACAGTTAGAGGCAAAGCAGATTTCGAGGAGCTGGAAGGAAAAATTTCTCGCTCAGCTATCATTATTACTGAGGTTCGATTTGCTATACCTGAATCGGATGATGATTCTAGATTTGGCCTTTGTTTTACAGATTCCGTATGGTACAAACAAGTCTACTTTGGTTGCTAAGATTGCCGAACTCGTTAACAGCAAGGTGCGTGTCAGGCATTTCACACAGTATTTTATATTCTCCTGTGCAGACGCTAGAAGGTGTAAGCGACATCAGAGATGAAAGTGACCGAGCAGGAATGCGGATTGTCGTCGAGGTAATTGTGATAAAATGGCTTGACATTCTTTGAGCTGGCTGTTCTCTATATATGCATGCAGCTCAAAAGAGGCGCTGTGGCAGCTGTTGTTCTGAATAACCTGTACAAGCATACAGCTCTGCAGTCTCGTTTTAGCTACAACCTAGTTGGGTATGTATGTTCTAGTGTGCATTGTGCAACGTACTTATCCCACATGTTTTTGTTGTATCAGTATTCTTAACAAGGAGCCGGAGGTGTTTAGTATCAAGAGACTGCTGGAGGTAAGTTTTCCCGGTTGTATTTCGGAAGTCTGAGTCGCTTTTTGTGGCAGATATTTCTAGATTTTAGGTGTTCAGTAGTCCAGAGGCGAGCTCAGTGCGAACTTACACGTGCTGAAGCAAGGGATCACTTGTTGGAGGTATAGCTTGCGACATGGTTTCAGGCGCTCACTTAATTTGTTTGCAGGGTTTTTTGAAAGGATTGGACAAGCTGGACGATGTTGTGAAAGTGTTAAAGAGTGCCAAGGATTCTGCGAGTGCAATGCAGGCATTGCAGAAAGGTTAGCATGCTAGTTGAGTATGCAAATCCTTATTACTGTTACTGTGTTGCAGATTTCGAACTATCTGCAGCCCAGGCCGAAGCCCTTTTAGGAATGCCGCTACGGCGTATAACCAGTTTAGAGGTTAGTGAACCAGCCACAATCATTTACTTACTTTTTTTTTTTGTTTTGCAGCGAAATAAGATACTCGAGGAACATAATAGTCTTCTTGCGCAGGCCTCCAACTTGCGTGAGTTGCTCTCAAACAAACAGCGCGTTTTAAGGGTGAGGACTTCTCCTCAAAGGCGTAACTATTTCAGCGTGTACTTCATCTGCCTTTAGGTCGTTGAAAAAGAAGCTTTGGCTTTGAAGAACGAGTTTGGAAGTCCACGTCGGACTGTGCTCGAGGAGGATGGCGATGGTCGAATAGATAACATTGATGTGATACCAAACAACGAGAGTTTCCTGGTATTTCACTTTCAAGCAGCAGTTCTCTGTTTAACCTCTCTCCTTGCGCCAGACTCTCAGCGAGAAGGGTTACATCAAGAGGATGCAGCCCGACACCTTTTTAGCACAAAGGCGTGGGACAACAGGCAAGTCCGGGGCCAAGATGAAAAGCAACGATGGCATGGTGGATTCATTCATGTGCAGGAATCACGACCACGTTCTCGTATTCAGGTGAACCTTACTACGCTGCTGCCGTCTTTGTGGACTAAAACGGACTGTTTTGTAGCGAGCGGGGAGTTGTATACTCCTTTCGTGCCTACCAAGTCCCTGAATGCTCAAGGACCTCTGCTGGTGTTCCCATCATTCAGGTTCATTGTTCATGCGGTGCTATGCATGAAAGTTCTCTTTTCTTGCTTTCGTAGGTGCTCTCCATCCCGGCGGGAGAACGAATTACTTCTATCTTCCCACTCAGCGAGTTTCGAGAGGACCATTTTCTGGTCATGCTCACTTCCAAAGGTTACATCAAAAGAACGGAACTGCCAGCTTTCTCATCCATTCGACCACAAGGCATTGTGGCCATTCAGCTGGTGCGCTGTCAAGATCAATTGCTTTCGTTTCTTCCATTTTTACGAAGGTTCTTCTGGCTTGCAGATGGAGGGAGACGAGCTTAAATGGGTGCGACTGGCCACCCAATCTGACAGGATATTCATTGGCTCTCGGAATGGGATGGCTATGCAGGCTCCTTGTGAGGTACCAACGGAAGTAATCTCTCCACGCAGCTTGCTAAGTGTGCGGTTTCTATCTAGTTTCGTTCCATGCGAAGGGGAGCTCGTGGTCTAAGGGCCATGCGCATTAAAGAAGGTGACGAGATTGCTGCTATCGACATTGTTCCTGGATCTGTATGGAAAGAGAGGTAGGCTAAAGCCCGACTTTGCTTTGTACTCACGTTTTATGCAAAAGGAGCAAAGCAAGCGAAGCTCCTTGGTTGCTCTTCGTCTCTGAAAACGGGATGGCGAAGCGAGTCCCTATAACTTCCTTCCCTCGGCACGGCTTGAACAAAGTCGGGGTTATCGGATGCAAGGTATGCATGGTGTGGGAAATGAAATCAACGAGCATATCATTGTGTTTTGTTTCGCAGTTCGTTCCCGGGGACCGGCTCGCATCCATGTTTGTCGTGGGAACGTCAGTTTCAGGTAGGCACAATTTCTATTCTTGCTGCGTGATAACTGGCAACAATTTGGACAGATGGAGAAAGCAACGAAGAAATCGTAGTCGGGACCCAGGGAGGGATCTTCAACCGGTTCAAAGTTCGCGAGATCAGTATCAAGTCGCGGATGGGAAGGTGCTTTTCTTTCGTTTCCTGCAAGCTTTTGTTTGATGGTCTGGTTGTCTCTCCAGGGGCATCAAGCTGATGAAACTAGATGTGGACGACAAGGTGAAATCGGTCTCTGTGGTTGCAGCGTCGGATTCTCCCGCTCACGACGAACCACCATCCGATTCATCGCAGGAATCGTAGAAGAACACGGCCATTACGTACAGGGCTTACTTTTGTATAGCAAAAATTTTGGTACGGACTTTATAAGACGGGTATATTCTCTCTTTCCTTCTTCGTGTGCTATGGCGGATACCATGAACAAGGAGGTGAGTGGCGGCGTTTGTTTCTCGTTTTAGGGCTGGTCGATCCTGTGTGTAGGCTGTTGTGGAGCTCCAGGCCAAGCTGGTGGATGCCACAGCCAAGCTCAAGCAGGTACTTTCGATCGATCGCTTTGACCTAAGTTTTTTCTTGCGTTTCTTCTTGTGAAGGTCCAAATGCAAATGCGGACCAAAGAAACCGAGAAGAAGCGCGCTCTGTTGACACTAGACGAGATCAACTACCTAGACGATGATACACACACTTACAAATCAGTCGGTAAATTTTCGCATGTTGTTTTCTTCGTCCCTGAGTTTTTTTCTTTCTCCAGGCAAAGCGTGAGTTCATAGTTTTTCAGCATCTTTCTTTTCTTTTGTTTTGGGATGATTTTTTGTGCAACGCAGCTTTATTTTGGAGCCCAAATCGAAGCTTGTGGGCGAGCTACAAGAAAAGGCCCAGGAATGCGAGTCCGCCATGACCAATCTCTCTGTAAGAGTACTTCCTTTCTTTCTGGTTGTCCAATCGGGATTTGTGTATAGGCTTCCAAGGAGTATCTAGAACGGCAGCTCAAAGAAATCGAGGGTAATTTCAAGGAACTGTTGCAGCAATCACCATCCCTCGCAAGACAAGTCATGGCAATGTCAGTGACATAAAATGTGCATCGCTTTGAAAGTCAGATTAAGAGTTCACTTTAATCTAAAGATTATTGTTATCTATCAATACGGAAACAAAGTATATTATATATGCAGAATGCAGATACAACGAAGATTTCTTACAGCACAATGTAGACCGTCTACTATTTAATATCTGTCTAAGTATGAGTCCTTGTAATCCTAATTTATCATGTTCGTCACCATTCTTTGGTGGAAATGCTAAGTAATTTTTCATCGACTTGTTTTTGTTCTTGATTTCTTCACATGGAAGGTGGTGGTGAAATGGGCTTGAGTAGAAGCTAGCCTTGGTGTTTAGTGTTTAATGTAATTTTCTAGGTTGCATGCCTACTCATGGATTGAGCATTTGGGATGGTGGCCATGGATGTGATGATACACCCAAACTTGGTGTTTCCTTCTTGTTTGTAGGGAGATGTAGCACTACAGTTTGTAAATCCTAATGTCACCTCGAAGTGCACCATTCAGCTTGTCTTGGGTGCCATGCAAATGAGGTTGCCTCCATGGATGATGTGCTGAAGCTGCAGCAGCAGCATGGTGAGGACAGCAAATCAATTTGAAGGACAAGTCAAGACCACTGTTTTCTTGAGCTTGTCCATGGCATCAAAGCGATTCTGGGGGAAATCCAGGATATCCATCACAGCTCTCTCTGCTAACAGGCCTGTGAGAAGGATCGAGGTGTGGCATCCCTGTGCAAAAGAGAAAAGTTTGATCAAAGAAAAATAAGAAAAATTTGAATTTGTATTGATCAATTGTGAAGATCATGCACAAAGAGGCAGAACATCATGCTAGCTCCTGTGGATCCTAATAGGTCTAAGCCTGTCAAGTTAGGATTGTTTTAGAGCTTTTATGAAAGGACAACCCTTGATAATGCTCCGTTCGCTGATTCTACAACCACTATAGATGTTGATCCCACCTCAATTGTACCAGTTCAAGATTCTAGTGGCTTGTGTTAGTTATGGGAGTTATGAACATGGGTGTGGACAAGGTTACAAGGGCGGTTGTAGCCCACAATGTTACAACTGTGACATATTGCAGTGGAATATGGGAATCTGTTGTAACAATAGTGATGCTTAAATACTTCCTGTTAATCAATTAAAAAACTAATGGATGTGTTTAAAGTTTCATCTTGTCCTCCTTTGACATGCACAAATATGTCCTATTATTTCTCAACCGCTCACTTATTTGTCTTCTCTAGAGTTATCTATGACACCAAAGTGATGGTTTTGGTGGATATTGCCTTTGCAATTGGTTTGTAGTTTGGAATTACAACAAGTCTCCTATTCTTATCCTTTGCAGTCATTTTTCCTAATTAAAGGTTTTTGGCACATATGTCTTTGCAATATAACTTCCATCACATATGATGCCCAACCAAGTTGACAATATCATCTTGGGTGTCAGTTGGTTGTATGCTAGTTAAATTTTATTATGATTATAAGCCTCAATATTCCAAGACATCCTTCCCTTTGTTTATGTTTGCCAGCTATTATTTAAAGATCTTCCTTATTCACCTCTTGAGCCTTCTCCTACAGATGATAGAGAAGCTTCTAATATTTTCTCAAAGCTCTTTGGTCTTATCAATCAGACTAAGTCTTCTATGCATAAGTGGTATAGTATCCCTACTTGAGATATGCATTTGGGACTTCATCGACAATCTCCTTAGGATAAGGAGTAAATGAATAACTATGTAACAAAGATGCTTGACTTAGGAGTCATTCACACAACACATAGTAAATAGACTACCATGCCACACCTTGTACCTAAATTAGATGGGATTAAGTTTTTTATTTGATTTCACAGTAACTAACTCTTATCCTTTGTTGTTGATGATCACAATTTTGGACTTGGTATTGACAAATACTTATAGATCATATTGATGTGGTAAAAATAGTTTTTCAACTTCATATAAATTCATATCTGCAACATTGGAAACCTTTGAAGAGTTTGCATGAGCCTATCTAGATGATTTATTGATACACATTAATAGCATATGAGATATGTTAAATTGGTGCTTAAGAGGTGGAAGCTTAGAAGGATCTGCCAATTACAAAATGGTTTGGATAGTAGTAAGCCTTATGTGTTTTGGTGTATGCCAAAAAACTTTAAATTGGCTGAGGATATATTAGTGTATATTGGTGAATTGAGTATCGTTTGGTAGCACCAATGTGTTATACATTGCGCTTCTTCTATGATATGTTGAGATAATGTTCATGAAACCATAGCTTTAGAGTTTTCTTGTGGAATGATTTAGTTTGAGAGAATATTTAATTGGAATAACATAGTAAGCATGTATAAAAACCTACATGGGAGAAGACAGGGGATTTTCTCTTTGTGCATTTGCTCCCAAACTTTGTAGAGAAGAGTTGAGGCCTTGAGCCCTCAACAATTGCACAGTAGGATGCTCTTTTTCTAACCAAGAGCAAGTTCATAACTTATTATATTGTAGAGATTTAGTGGTATGAAAGCTAGCCGGGGCACTCTCCTCCTCCATAGAGACACCTTGGGTTTGGATCATAGTTTAGTTTTATTCTTTTTTCAGTTTCTCATTTATTTTTTCTTGCTTTTGTTTTGCAACTTGCACTATCAGTTTTTATAGTGTAATTTCTCACTTCATTTCTCTTGCCATTTCTTTTATATGATAGATCTCTTCTTGGCTTTCTTTTGAGGTGTGGTTCAACCTAAGATGTCCAAGAATTGCTACATACAAGAGTTTTTTTGTCACCTTTGTGTCCTAGAAAACCCATATCAAGATTCTTAAGATACTGTGTGCAATTTGTCATTATTTTCTATCTTTTATTTTTCTAGGATCTTAGTTTATATCAAAAGCTTATTAATACTCCAATGTCAAATGATTCCATCCAAAAATCCTATCCACCCTATATCAACTGACTAAAAAGGTGATCACTTGATTGTAGAGTCCTTTTGGATCTTATTATCTAGAGTTGATGCTTAGGAATTGATCATTCATGATCATATATATGCCACGCTCTGGTAATCATGGTCTTTCTCTACCAAACTTTATTCTTATATTAAATATTTCTTTAGAATATTTTTTGCCGCAGTCACACAAAAAGAATACCAACATTAAGATCCTATCCCTTACACGCAGGGCCTTTTCTTATTTTATTATTCTGATTTAGTTGCTAATAATATGTTATGACTCAGCATTAAATAATATCTATCCTCATTTACACTATGCTATATCTCCTTTTAAGGTTCTTCACCACCCAACCACCCCTGAACTACCTCAAAATCTTCATTATGTTATTGTTCCCATTGTAAAGAGTAGATTAAGTTCCTATAACCAATATACCTTTGGTCCCTTGGTCAAAATTGATACCCAACAACTCTTTGCTGCCCCCTCTCCCCGAAAAAAAATGTCTTTTGGATTCTTCTCAAGCTTCTCAAGCAATGGTCCACAATTATATAATGTGAAATAGTATACCTTTCAATTACCTGACATAAAATATTAGATGAGTTTTCTCAGAAGTGGTCTACATTAGTAAACTCAAAAATGAATGAAATTATGAATGAAAGCTTTCATTTCAATTGCATTCTTATTTGAAAAAAGGAAAAAGACAACTCTTGCAATCTTTCTTATCAAGGTAGTAATTCCAGGACTAAAAAATGCAATAACTATTATATAACCAATCAAAAGATAAAAATAGATACATGAATATTATGGGTATTATTACAAAGAGAACATATGAAATGAAAAGCATATCTTTTTAGTAGTTATATAGAATAAAAAAATTTATGTTATCATTAAAGAATAAAAATAATCTAGCTTCCTCCAAAAGGTTTTTGCAACTCAATAATAATAAGGTGTAAGCTACTCAATTTGGACTTCCTGCTATTAAAATCTAAGGATGTTTAACCCCAAATATCCTAAAACTCTTAATTGATTGGAAAAGAGGGTGTATTTTTATTCATGGGCCCTTTCCCTTTATATTTGAATCTCGAATTTCCTGAGAGGTCACCCATCTCAATATTATTCAAACACTCAACCCCAAATATCCCAAATATCAATTAATATCAATTAATCAATTAGATAAGGGGTACACTCTTATTCATGAGCCCTTTCTCTTTATATTTGAATTTCATGGATTGTCTTTTAACTCGTTCCCTTTGGTTGTTTACATAAAGCTTGTTTGGTATATATGAATATTTATTTTAGGATCATAGTGCAATGTCTTAATGAAGATGTAATAAATGTGTTTATAAAGAGCATATGCCTTCCCATGTTCTTTGCACTCTATAAAGTCTAAATATGTTTAAAAAAGAAAATCTTGAATGACAATTGTGTACTTTCCACCTTTTTTTTTATAATATATTCTTTCACTAGCGCAATGATGTACTTTATGGAGAGAATCTCATATTCAAGTGTTTGAGTTGAACTTATTTTACTCTATTTTTGCTTAGAGACGGTACCAATAAATTTAACTACCTTACCTTTTTTTGTTGTCCAACCTGATACCTACTATATATTAAAATATACCCATGTATTAGCAAGATCACTTAATCCAACCATTTTTATTAGACAGAGAAGATATATAGTAGAGATGGGGCCTATTACAAACATCTTGAAGACAAGGAGGTGCTTTTGCTTATAATGATTGGGTTTGGAAATAATTTTTTATGGATAAATTCATATAGACAATTCAAGGATAGAGTTGATTTTTATTGTAACTTCTCCTGTAGTCATAAGCTTATGAAAAAACAAGTGCATGTTGGTAGAGAGGCAAGAAACTAAAAAGTATTGCAAACAATTTTAAATATCAGTGGAGTTGGATTCATGGCTAGCACTAAAGTGGCATCTCCATTAAAATTGGAAGAGGAGGAAAAAATGATGACCAACTTTTGATTCACATTTGTTTTGGCAAAAGTGTAATTGCCGATAACATTTCACGTGATAACTTTTTTAACTCTTTGGAGATATTTTCTATCATCACAAGGAAACTTTCATTCTTTTAGGCATTGATAGA